AAATTGTTCTGACCAGTGACAAAATCTTCATTATTAGACATATAATATTCTGCTAGTAGAACTAGTAAGTTGGCATTCAATTTTGAGATGTAGTGCTTCTTGAAATTCAACTGATGGTTTTCCTTTGGGATTCAACCCTAAGATTCTAGTTAGAATTCCTTCTGTCAAAGTTTACTTATTTTACTCTTGTAGAAAAAAGTTACTTTGGTCAAGTTTTGTCACTCAAACTGTAATACTTACGGTTTTTACTTTCTGTATGATACAGCTATGAACATCCAAGGAACTTAAAATTTACGAGGCCCCCTTAGTCACATAATCTTCAAATATAAACCTTGTCCTTACACTACATTTGATGATTTCTTTGCTTATAATAAGATTCTCCAACCTTGTTATCCTTAGCCTTATAAGAAGGGTAGCAGGTTAAGGCAGGATTCTAGCTCCAGTTTGGATAAGTTGAGGAGTTTGGAAAGTTTAGCTCCAAAGAAGCTATGAAAAGGGAATAAAGCCAGTTATAAGGATTATTGGGATCCAGAATAAGATGTGATGCATAGAAGAACAAGAACACACTAAACAGTCAGAAATACTCAAGTAGTTTCTTTTGAATTTTGCTCTGCTGTAGATCACTTGGATGAACTCATGGCCACCAGTGCTTGATTCTGCCTAAATATCAGCTGTGCTTGTTACTAGGCTGGACAACTTCTTGGGTGCTAGGAAGAATAACAATTTAGTCAGTACTTTTCTTGTCACCATTAAACTATTGTTATTTTAGCATGACTTTAGGAACCATGGCTTCTGGTTATTTTCTTTCCAGCTGAGACAAAAAATTAAAATCCCAATTGCTCTGTACTTTTATCACACTTACCACACTGAGTTCCAAAAATATTATCTGCAGTGGCTATGTTATTAAAACTGGCTTTTCTGGGAAAAAACAGAACAACTGAAGCCTCGTTTCTGCAGATTTTATTGCTATGTGCAAATGTACAGACCGTGGTAATCCTCGTTCATCCTCCTATCTGCATCTCCTATTCAGAAAGTTTTTTATGTGCTAAGTGGCTTGCTCTTACGCCTCACAGACCAGGTAACTGTTCAGGTTATTCTATAGCCCTTCTTTTGGCAATAACATTAATATTCGTTTCTGTCTTCTACTTATTCAGCAGTTTCCACAAAATGTTTAATATTTTTTATATCTTTTATCCTCTGTCCAGTTTCTTCAGAAAATAGTAGGCATTTAAATATTTCTGACTCATATGATTATGCTCCAAAGATTCCCCCCCCAAAGGTATTACAAATCAAAAATTCAGTCTAATGAAACATTTGTCTAAGTACAGTGCTTTAGAAAACTGGATTACCAAAGTACAAGAGTATGATCATCTAGTATTGTATCACTGGTGTTTGCCTTTTTTTTTTTTTAAACAACCACGTAAAACTCCAATTTACAGAAACGTTCCTGAAAGTGGCACAAACAACAGGCATTCCTCACTTGCTCTGCAATGCATCAGTGGTTTTAAGTAGGCTTGTCTTTTTCCACTGCAGCACATTAGCTATTTACTGGATATTCAGGATATACCATATTGCCTTTCAGCTCCAGCAAGAGGGTAGTGATATGCATAGGTGATATTACGTAATTGTTTAGAAGTTTCTAGTAATGTTGTTATAGTCTAAAATCCACTACACATTTTTCGGCATGCTTTCTTACCTTCTAAAGGAAAGAACCCCTTCCTTCCCCCAGGAGTCTTGCCCAAGCAGCACGCAAGTATTTGCCGTGTCCTTACACGGTTAGCACAGCCTCTTAACGAGTCCCGGCTGCCGTGCGATGGGCTCCCCAGCAGCGCTCAACAGCTGAAGGGCTCTACGCTTCCCCCTGGCGCGCCTCGGCCCTCAGGAGAGCTCCGGGCTGCGAGAGCCCTGCCCGTGCTGTGTGCGAGTGACCTCTTCAGCCAAGTCAGCGTCACTACAGAAAGGTCACGGTGCAGAGCTGTATTGGCTTCCAAATGGAGCAGGTTTTGAGGTACAGCTGCCATATTTTTCTCCCTTGAAGATCCACGATGAAATGGAAACTAAAGGGGAGATGTATTTGCAGCGGGAACTTTGGAAAAGTAATTTTTTTGTTAATAAGTAACATGTTTTTTAAAGTATATTCACAAATTTGTGTGCTGTTGCCAGATGGACCATTATTAATAATCATTAAATAAAACCAGTTTGAGGCTGGACCGTGGGAGTATATTAAATTGGCTGCCAAGGAGCTTTGCAAGAGACTGAGAAGTTGTCATGAAGCATATTTGCTGTGATTCAGCGATGGTTGTATCTGTAGACAACAACCCACAATTATGAGTTTCAAAAAGGGAAATAAAGTTAAAAGTTTAGTGATACTGATGAGATTACTTAAAGGTATACTTGATTTTAAAATCATCTACTATTTATTATATTAGCTGTGTTTCTCATGACCCATTCTGCTAAGTGATTAAGATTTGCCTTCGTATTTAATGATTCTGCAAGACTTACGACTCAGAAAACCAGAGTTTACATTAAAATTTAGAGAACATAAAGCTTTTTTCTAGGTTTCTTGTAAACATCTTGATATTAGCAACCTCTGAAATGAATACAACAATGATGTAAAAGACCTAAGCTAAAAAAATCTCCATAGCTTGTACACAAGTACAGTTCAGCTGATATTTATGTACAGTTCTGGAGTCGTATCACTGACATAAAGACTGATCTGCCAGATAAAATAAGAGCAACAAGATACTGAAGCATTACAACAGCGCATATTTGCTATTAAAACACTGCAACCTCATTGCTGTTGTCAAACTTGCCCAAACTGTCTACGCTGTATTTCATAACAGAAATCAACAACTTCTAATTGGTTCTGAACTGTACTTGTACCAATGGCAGGAAATATGGAGTATGTGGGTCTGATGGCACCAGTGAGGTTTTTTTTGCAATTATGAAAATAAATGCCTGTTGACCCTAGGCTCTACTTAGTGGATGTTTGGTAATTCTGTTTTTAGAGATCTTCCATGCCTATGTGCTGCCTATTCTATGATAATTTTCACACCACAAAATGGATTTTGTAACACAGTAGCACTGAAATATGTGTTAAAGCATAATAAACTGATGATGGTAAAACCATTCAAGCCAACAGAAACAGTGTTTCATTCTAGTAAAACAGTATTGTTTACACACTGACTCTCAGTACCGTAATGACATGACATGGCTGACATATTGCTTGATGGGCATTAAATTATATTTTTGGGGTAAGCTTCCTGACCTGGTGGCAAGGCTTATGATGTAATTCCTTTGTTTACCATACTTAGATCCCCAGCTTGTCTTGGTTTAGAAGATCACTTGGCTTCAGTTGGTAAGACAGTCTAAGCTTGAGTACATAACCAATGTACTCAATGTGTTGAGGTACAACTTTTTCCACTGTGTATACAAGAACAACTGAACACACCTGATGTCTCTATAAAAGATCTTTTGACCCTGTAAAAATTTCGGTGTCTCAATATTCAGCTTACCTGGGATACATTTTCACTGAAGACTCAGAGAAAGATAAAGGCAACACTGTTGTCTTCAACAGTCACAAACAAGTCTCTGGAGATATTTTCTACAAAATAACTTTTCACCTTGGAATTAAAGCATATACAAGTACATGTAGCCATAACATGACTTTTCAAAGCTGTACTTTTTAATCTTGTTGACAAAGATCTACAATCTTCAAGCTGACAGCTCTGTTTATTCCCTCTGCAAACCTGTACCAAAAGGTACAGATTTTAAAAATATGTTAAAGACAGATTTCAAAGGAGAAGTTCAATTATGGTATGTATGAAGACATGGATACAAATTCCTAAGCTTGCATAGCTGTAAGGCCTATACAAGTGATTATCTGCAAGCAATTGGGGTAACTTAATGCAAAATATTAGTAATTTCAAAGTGTTGAAAGACTTCACAGCTAAAGATATAAAGGAATTTAAAGCACAACAAGTGTTACAGATAAGTGATTGCTATGTTCCTTTAAGGAAATGTTGAGCACTTTAAAAGAATTGTGTAGTCTTCAGATGTAACTAAAGGACTTTACAGGAAGTTCTGAATGGGGAACTACACATTCTGTCCTGTCCAAACAGGACTTTTTGGACAAAATTTTCCTTTGGGAATATCAAACATGCTTAGTTGATTTCAAATCAAAATAGATTGTGAGGGACTATTAAACTAGCAGTGTGATCTACCTCTGTGTGTATTAAGAAATTATATTAGAATTAAGGCTCATACCCATGAAGTGGCAAATGCTGTCTATGCAGTGCTGGTTGACTTTAATTTCTATTAGCTTTAGAAGGAAAGGAAGACAGTGGAAAGTATTATGAGTTATTCAGCCCTCACCTGGTACTGTGAATGTAGCTTTTATAACTATTACAAACAAAAGTTAATAAAGAATCTAAAACAAACAAACTTAGACAGCAGTTACTTTTATGTTTTGTCATCAAACAAAAGCAAATGCACATAAATTTCACTACAAAGTATTAAAAAAAGTTTTGAAATGGGAACCATCTTAATGTTGTCTGGAAATGTCTTACCCAAGAGGATATTTGGCTAGATTTAGGTTATCTCATAGTATAGACTCCAAATCCCGTTGGTATAGGACTTGGGGACATTCTAATTAATTGACAGTAAAAACTATATCAACTGCCTGATACATGTTCTTCAGGGGCAAATTGTGAATTCTTTCACCTAGATTAATGAGGTAAGTAACACCAAATGTTGTTAGAGCCAATTCTGTTTCTAATTTTGCCATGTGACTCTTCAATCAAGTAGAACTGCATTTCCCAAGCAGAAAACAATGAAACACTCTAAGAGAATTAAAGAGGTCAGAATCTGTTATTCCATATGCTTACTATCCACTGCCTGATTTATATGTTCTTAAGTGACTACCTCTAAGCAGTTCCCCTGTGATACCTGTGGTATCTTCCACAAGCAGAAAATGACTTAGTTAAAAGGCATGCACTTACCTGACATCAGGGACTGGGTTGCCAGCAACTCTGCATTCCAGCAATACTTTGTTTCCTTCAGCAACTTCCTGGCTCCGGAGCTTCTGGATGAATTGAGGTGGTGAAGGCTGATTCTCTTCCACGTTGACAAAGGGGTGGCAAAGGACCATTTCCCTCTGAGCGATGCTCTCCCTTTCAGAAAAGTGTTCTCCATTCAAATGAATGTCAAGTAATTTTGCCTCAGGCTCAGTCTCTTGATGTGGCTTGTCAAACTCCTGGGTCACTGAGGTACTTACAGCTGGATGTTTGTTTTTAGGAGACAAGTATCCACTGTCTGGAGAAGAAGAGTCCCCATCAGGACTTCTACCTCTTGTCTTTGCTGCCTGTCTAAATATAGATGACAGTTCCTCTATGAATGTGGCAGCTTTGTCACACAGCTTGTTCCTGAAAGGAACTTCCCCCTGGGGTGCCGATTCGGACTTTGGGCTTGTCTTGGACACACCTGGACCATCTTTATCCAAATGTTTCAGGCTTCTAATGAAGCTGGGACTAGCAGTTAGCACAGGTGAGGTGCTTGCTTGCCTTCTGGAAACTGTGACAAAGCTACTTGCTGTTTGAGGTGTGGTGGATTGCTCTTTCTGATTCCCTGGGAGAACATGACTTGCAGCAGATGAAGTCAAACTGCTTGCTTGAGGCCTCTGTAAAGCATCTTGCTCGTGCTGTTTGGTATCTCTGAAGGAAGGATCTTCTGAAGCGCTAGAAAGAGAGGTGTTGAAATAATGAGTGAAGTCTGGTGCTGAATTCTGATCATCCTTCATGGAATTGGCAATGGCTTCCCAAGCTATGTCAAGGCTCTTGCATATCTCCTCCTGGGTAAGGAAGGCAGAAAGTTCATTTGAAAATTCCCCGTTCTGTATGTCTGATAGGGAATCATAGAAAAAGTCATGGTAGGATGAGGCTTCTGATGTATTTTCAGGATATCCCTTATCAGTGTCTCTCTCTGCACAGTAAGCCTCCTTCAGCATTAAAGAAAGAGGTAATGCCTGGCCACAGCTTCTGTCTTGCATCCTGGAAGACACAAATACAGTTCCTTAACAAAAAACCCTTGTCAATAAAAAAACTACAGCACTGTTATATTATGGTTCCAATAAGCTATACAAAAAACTTGGAGAGGAGCAGAACAGAACGGTGCATGAAATAACTTATTGTAAACCTTGTTTTCTATTAGAAATGCCCAGGGCTGCAAATTGCCTAGGTGGAACTGAGAGAGCTTAGGAGTAATTTTTCTCATGTGTCTTCCTTCAGAACTATTAAGACATCCTTTGTCTGTACGTTGCCTAACACAAGCTCAAACTGGACCAATGCGAGTGATTTTTTATTTCACATCACACGTCATTTTTTCTGATTTTAGGCTTATGATGATTTGGGGAATAATTATATTTTTTTCTTTGCCATAACACTGCCTTCCAGACACTAAACCATCAAATTCCAAGAGGAAAACACTGTTCTAGTTGAAAACATTGTGAGAATTGACACAAGGATGTTTGGATTACAAATTCCAAGTTATCCTTTCTGTTTAATGTTGATAATATGTTTAATATTAATTTACTTCTTGTATTAACATTTTTAACTTGTTACCTTTTAGTACAATTTAGTAGCACTTTTCTCAACACTGGTAAGTGGAACATCAAACTACCACATTCTAAAAGTAAAATACTAAAGAAATAGATTTCACAACCTATGTATCATCCTGCACCACATAAGTGTATGATGTATATTCTGTACCAGTTCTGCAAAGTACAGAAACATCTATACATCTCCAGTTTTCCCACATGATTTTAGAATGAGGATGAGCATTCACTGCCTCTGTAAAGCCAGCAAGAAACAAGACATGAGGGAAGCCGCTCTTTTCCCAAGGGAAGGATCTGCCTGGAACTCTCCTTATTGAAATCTATTTGTCCTGCTGGTCACTAGGTTGCGGGTGATCTGATCTTAAAAGTAATTGCCACTTCTGTGAAGTATTTAATTAAGTTGAACATCAGTGTTTTTAATTACTCTTGAAAATTCTCTTCTTGTCATGATATTTTCTATAAGATTAATTCTGCACAAGATTTTAAAAAAAGAGTATATTTTTCTCTTAGTGGTACAAAGTATTTCTCCACTGATAGATAGGTGGCTTGACAGCCATGAGATGTGCTCGGATGTATTTTACATCAGCTTGTGCAAGTTCCAGTTACCTTTAGTCACTTCACCAGGGCTTACCCGGCATGTAGTCATTAACTGACTGATAAATTATTGGAATTCTTGGCCCGGCATATGCATCTCTTGATATGCCTGCTTGTCTTGCCAACAGATTACAACTCAACACATAAAAGAGAACTGTAAGGGAACCAAAGCATTTCAGCATTTGATAAATGTTTTTGTAGAATACAGTGATAGGCTTATCCTTTGCTGAGATTACATCTTTCTGTCCTTCTATTTGTGTTTACAGGACAACAAATTTAGCAACCATGCCAATCTCTTGTCAACAAAATCTAAAAAAATATATACAGTATAACTGACTACCACATAGCAGCTTTCAAGCATGAACCTGAGAAGCCAGGCAAACAGTTGGTCTAGAAGCTCAGCTGTTAAAGAATAAACTGGATGAATGCCAGGGAACCAAGGGTTAAACCTGGAGAGTTTCTGTCTCCTCAGTCTTAGTAGTTTTTAAAAACTTTGTATTCAAATGAATAAAGGTGCTAGTTTACTATTTAGATAACTCATAAATATCTGTGCTTCAAATGAGATCTTTATTTAAATCTGATTCATACTGGTTCCTAGCTTGCTCACATATCAAAGTGATACATTACATACTCAGATAAACTTCTCTGACTTCCAGCACCAAGCTGTTCTGGTGTTTCAATGGTCTTAATGATCGAAGGACAATTTCACCGACTGCTGGCCACCTGACATGACGATTAAAATGAATGTATTATGAATTAGCATATCTCCTCCTAATTCTCAGTTTTATGCTGTTTTGTCACACATTAGAAAAATACAATGGCTACATATGTCATAATTTTCAAAGCCCAATGTCTATTTAGGTAAATCAATCTGTAGCTGAGTATTTAAATAAGGTTGATAAATTTAAACATGCTGGTTATTGGCAATTTCTAATGCTGATAAGCCTTCTTGATAAGAAAGGTCTCATGCCTCAAAATGGATTTATATGTCTAGCTTTAGGCAGCTGAATGGAAGCTTCCAGTATAAAGACTGTTTTTTCAGCCACACTGTAATATGTAAAACCACTATTCTTTTAGAGCAAACATTTAGTTATTCTTTTGTAACCATAGCAAACTGGAGGTGCAGTATTGCTAACCCTATCAAGTAGCATATAAGATCATAATTAGAAATTTCAAATGCTATTTCTAGCTTCTCCAAGTTAGACTGTATTTATAACAGTTTTCATCATCATTACTCATTAGGTAACCTGCAAAGCCATATACTGTATCATTTAAAGACACAAACATAAAATACAATGTTGCATGTAGATCAGTGGTTATTTATACTTCAGCATTATTATATGTAAACTATTTATGGGGTCCTATTTGCTATATATTTAAAAACTACTTGCAAGTAAATACACATTTTAACATCATGCTGTTTAAATATTTGTTCAAAAAATAATACAGATGCTTTAAGGAATGATACGGTAAATAGTAAAATCAAAATGTACCGGATTACAATAATCTCAGAAAACAATTGAATAATTAATCAATTTAAGGTATTAGAGAGATAAATAATGAAACATGAAAAAAACAGAAAATCAAAGGACTCATTTCAAGAAAAGTATAAGCATCCTGAATTAGCGGAAACTGTCCAATGAAAAATTATTACTTAATTACTTAAAAAAAAAAAAGACCCAAAGTCAATCTGTTCAAAGGAAGAAGGAAGAAATGTATCTACTAATATTTTTAAAACAAAATGGTATATTTTTCCTCTGAATCTTGAAATCTTGCAAAATTACTCCCCAAAGTACAATAATTACATTTAGCAGAAAATGTACAACAGACCTTACAATGAACAGGCCAATATGAAGAGTCTCAAGTGTAATTAATAGCAGGTAAAGTTGCTTCTTTCCTTCTTTATCTAAGTAGGCTTAAAGTCGCTCCAGCTATTCACTAAAGATTGCTTGGTCCTCAGTAAGCATGGAGAAACTGTGGCCTGTGTGTTACATCTGTCCTCTGTAACTATGTAATTCTTACCCCACTCGTCTATATTTGGTAACTGAACTCATGTTTCAGCAGACTGCCGCTATCTGGAATTCCAGTAGAAGCAACATTAGGCCTGGAAGTGGCACAGAGTTCTGTGCACTTGCTACTCAGAAATTAATTAAATGTGCAATTTTTGTTGTATTTAGCACAGTATTTTAGGCTGTTTTAAAATAGTATTCTGGAATTTTAGGATGTGATTTTTGGTCATTATTAAAGGACCTACCTCCACAGTTCATAGAAAACAAAGTGTGTGAAAGTGAATTTTTAAAAAATACCTTCTTCCCACTGCATTTTGTATTAACAAATTTTTAATTATTTATCAGAATGAACTATTTTTATGACAATAAAAAATAATTAGCTTTTTCTACTAAGAGTAGTTTAAAACGAATAGCTTCCTTGTGTACCTTAAAATTTTCCAGGGGAAAAAAGCAAACAATAGAATCATAGAATCATTTAGGCTGGAAAAGACCGTTAACGTTTTTAGAGCTATCAGCAGAAATGGTCCATCTTTTTGTAATAATAAATAATTATTAATCTGTAATCATATACTACACTGTATAAATAAATATACTGAATTTTCACATCTCAAATGAAGTAATTCTATGATCAGAAAAGAAATATGTCCCTCAGAAATGACAGAAAAATCCCTGGAAAACATGTATGCTTTAAAAAGACCCCACAACTCTGACACATGTATTAACACTGAAACAACCAAAATGCATTTCCAGCTTCTGTAGCCTTGTAGAGTGTAATGAGTAACACAATCAGCTCTCCCTTTACTGTCTTTGCTGAGGAAGTAATTTCACCTCATTAAGAACTCCTGTGAGAGTTTTGTCTCAGGGAAGAAAATTTTTCTGTCCAAGAGCACACTTGTGCCTTTTCAGGCACATAATTTCCTTTGATAGACAGTGAAAGGAAGAATTAAACATGAAGCCTGCTGGTTTAATCTACAGACTTTATCACACAATTTCCAGAAATAAATGCAGTGTGTGGGTAGGATTGTTTTTGCCAGATTGCAGCCTATTGGGAGAAGTCAAATTGTCTGGAGTAGTCAGGAGAAACTGTAGCTCCAAATAGATGTTACGGCCCTGTCTGCCTTCTGCCAGTGTCCATTATATCTGCTCTCTGATTTAAATAAATTTTGTGGGGTGACACTTGTTCTTAGCTCAAGGTCTTCCCAATATTGCATTACATTTTTTAATAAAGTTTATTCCTTGTCAACAATAGAAGAGCAGCGAACCCACTGTTGTGACAGAAATGCACAAGAGACTCATAGCTCCCTATTGGTCCTAGACCATCTTAATGTGTCACCAAGTGCTGGTATTACACATTTTATTCCAGTTAATACAGTATCTTTCTCTGCATCTTCATACAGGCAAATACTGTCCCCTATTCAGAGCTTCAACAGATTCACTGTTGAATTAGGAATGCTTACTTATTTCACAATGTATACAAGCCCCATTCTTACTACTTGGGATCCTTACTGTGTACTGTGTTGTAATGAAACTAAGAAAAACGGTTTTATTTCAGGTCACTTTACAGTGATTTCAGTGTATCAAATAAGAACAGAATTGTAATTCTAAAAATTACAGGCTAAAAGCTGTACACAAAAAAAAAAGGAGCTGGTCATCCAAGTGTTAACCACTGTATGCCTAATTTTTAAGCAGTCACTCCACAGAGCGGAATCCAGGGCCTGTGTCAGGCACCAAGCTCTCCACTAAATGCATAAGAGTTCGGCTCCTTAGAACAGGAGCCAAAAATAGCCTGCATATAAACAGCGACAAACTGCCTCAGGCTATCTTCAGCCTTTT